CGGTAGTGCGTGCGTGGGTGGGTGGGTGTCTGTCTGGCCAGTGTCGACCGCCAACACTCGTGCACACGGGATTTCTCCCGTTGTGTGTACCGCGTGTGTGAATGCGAGCCGTCGTCGCGATCGCACTGATACCGATCGCGCCGCCCGACCTGGTGTCGGCACACCCGGAGTAACCCCCCGGCGTCGATCGCCCGCTGCACGCGCACGTTGTATTCCCTGAGTGGAAGAAAAAAAATGAGATATGTCGCCCCTCCGTCTGGAGCGTTTGATGCTGCTACCCGCGCGCTTCTGACTCCACTGGGACGATGACACCGCGACCGAGCCAGCGACAGATCTACCTGGAGAACGGTCACGCACTTCTGCCTTCTGTGTGCCTCGTCAAGAAATAAACGGGCACGACCGAGCCAAACCTGTGTGTCTGTCAGCCATCATGATCGCCCGCGAGTCATGACTTCTGTGCTCCACAATTTCTGACGTCCCGCCCAAGTGGCATGAGTTTGCTCCGCTTGTCCACGTGACACACGTGCCTCAGACTTTTTGTAAATTGTCAGGTTCTCGTTTTGTTGTCGTTGTAGGACAGAGAAAGGAGATTTCCGGGGTATACGAGGATGTTCCTCGACACACTGAGTCCAAACGCTGCGACGTTTCAAGTGTAACTATCTGAGAGAAAGTCAACAAGTTCTGTTATCCTGTTGCGTCACACGTTGGAAAGTCCAAGTATGAGAGGTCCAGCGGAGGAAAATGGATACCGGTAAAGTATCAGCATGCGCGAAAAGTCAGCAGAATGTCATGCTCACGCAGGTCACGTGAGGGGCACGACAGAGATGTGCTCGCGTGATCCACCTACATTGCACCCGACCCTCGCCAAGGCAAATGGTAAAAATTCAAGTCCCCAGCCAGCTCATCATACCGAGGCACAACGCATCGACAGCAATCTGCTGCCAACTCCCGGAGGTCGCTTGAAATTCTTCAAAGATGGAAAGTTCATTCTGGAACTGTCTCATCGCAGGGACGGAGAAAAGACTACGTGGTTTCCCGTGCCAAAGAAAACCTTTTGGCCACCCGCTAGCACCATCCCGAATCGGCAGGAGAGCTCTACTTCCCTCAGTGGTGGGTCAAAGGAAGCATCGATGCATATTATACAGTTTCTTTTATATTTCACTACTTTTTACATATGTTTATTATATTTTCAGAAATAGATTTGTTTATCATTGTTTCCCAGATCTTTTTATTCTGGTTTGCATTATTGTTGTAAAAAGTATAGGCAATACAATCAATCTACATAACTCATATATAACATGTACTCTGCATTCTGTTCTCAGTTTCCGATGACAATTCGTCGGTCCAATCCAGTCCTTGGCAGAGAGATCACTGCTGGAAGCAGACCCATCCCCGACGCAGGATAACCACGGAATTTAATTTTTATTATCGTCGAAATCCGAAGACTCGTTTGTGCGCGCATCTTCGCTTAATAGCGAGGAAACGCAGACGCCCGTTAGATTCCACGACTGTGGTCTCAGTTCCGGAATCAACGGCTAATTCGACGAGATTGTCACGGAAATTGAATGGTACGTCGTCGTCGGGCAAGGTTCTTAGTCTGATCATCGATAAATTGGCGCGCCTGCTGGATCCTAACGTCGTGTCACCTCGCAAACGTATACTGCGAGAGCTGGAGAGAGTCTCGCTGGAAGATCAGGCGTCCAAGAGACGGGCCACTCCACAGCCAGTTTGCACAACGAGTGCGCCGCCGACTCCCTCTTCGAAGCAAGTGTCATCATACAGTATAACGAGTATCCTGGGGGAGGACAAGCCAAGTCCCGAGCCGGGTTTCTTGAGGACACTGTTGAAGCCGGACGACCGGCAGCCTGTGAAATACTCATCGACTAACGCCTATCCAAGGGTACGAATCGATCCCTACATTGGATCCAGCAATACATCCGTTCATCATCCGCTCTACGGGATACCGATGTTGCCACCTGGACCGTACAGAGCGGCGCCTTTATGGATGGCTCCTCATTATCCGTCTCCCGTCCACTATCCGCCTCCTATGCAATTATACGCATCGCCGCATTCTCATCCGTTGTCCCCACATTACAAAGACTACAGGGAACAAACTCTCACACCTCCTTCAGGTATGTTTATTTATGTGTCATAAATAAAATAAGTATTGGAACAATTAGATCATTCGAAAATGTTTATGACTCTATTTTTCGTTTGCAGATATGCCTCTGAATCTGTCGAAGCATGCGGGTTGAATCTCAGGATCCCAATAGAGTTGGTGCCTTACGAGTGGACAAAACACTACGCAAACACTGCCCGTGCAACGACAATGCGATATATATTAGTATTTTTTTATTCATAAAACAATAGTATCTTAGTAAGTAGAGAAAGAGAGAGCGAGAGCGAGAGCGAGAGCGCGCGCGCGCGAGAGAGAGAGAGAGAGCGAGAGAGAGAGAGAGAGAGACAGAGAGAGACAGAGAGAGACAGAGAGAGATACAGATACGATGAAGCCAGATAGTTGGATTTTGGAAGAGCTATACTTGTACATACAAATGCATAAATTTTTGTCAATGGCGGCATAGGTATTTTATATTAATATTAAACACAAGATTCAAAAAGAAAAAGTCATGAGTGGTAATACACATAAAACGTTATGGATAAAAAATGCAATTATAAGTGTGTGTATACATGTTACACATATTTTTATGTACGCGACCTGCAAGTAAAGCGAGTGAAAAGCTTTTTAGAAAAGAAAGAAAGAAAAAAAAAATGAAAGAATCGATACGCGTGGTTTTTTTTTTAAGACGATCGTAAATCCTTATTAGTCAACGCGGGAATGTATTAGCAATCGAACGAGTCATTCGTATGTTTTTACTTTCGACATTACTACTCATATTTTGTCGCGATGGGGATGGGTGAGCACGCGTAAACCTGTGCACGAGCAGGTCTCATCCTGTACATCTCATTTATGCATTTTCCCGTTATTCTTATAACGTTACTATCATTATTATCATTAATGAAAAAAAAATAGTACATTATCTTAAAGGAATCGATAAGAAAGACATAGGATTATGTACAGAACAGATTATTGCCTCTATATCTCTAGCGCATTAATTATTCTTAAAGATAGAAATGCATAATAAATTTAGGCTCTAATAGAATATATTCACAATGGTATACAGTTATTTATATGATATTATATATAACGCAAAAAATATGAGAGAGAGAGAGAGGAGGGAGATAGAGAGAGGACACAAAATTACTTTGGTAACGACCGTGGGGTGTGCCTTACAGATAATTAACGAAATTCCATGAAATTAAATTATAAACGTTCTTGCGGATGTATATTATTATAAAAGGAGGCACTATATATATTATGTATATAATAAATATATCTTTGTGTTACGTGTATTTTCATCAAATCGACATTTATTCGTTGCTCTATTTATTATTAGTCAGGCGCATCGAAAAACATTTTCACGAGAAAGCAAGGCAAGCTCGCACAGGTTCTACAAACAAATGAGTAATTTTAATTGTTCAACGCGTACGCGATTCTCTTTAGCGATTCCGACAAAATGGAGAAGTATGTGACTGCGCATTAGCAATTGTATAGAAAAAGACTAATTTCGTAAATATAAATATTTCATATACTACGCACAAACATTATTTCATTTTCCATGATCTCTCTACAACCTGAAACCTAGAATATTCTCTTTTAGCAGTAATTATTATACTGTTCAATGTTTCATAGAAGTTGTTTATTCAATTATATATTATATACATTGTTATTTATATTACTCATTATAATCGCAACAATTATTCGAACAATTGACTCAATCGCTCCGTCATTTAAGCAGCAATAATATATATTTAGATATTTTTTATAAAAGCGAATCACGATAGAACTTGACATATTGCCGCATATTGTGATTTAAAAAAAATCATAAAAACATACTAAATCTGGACTAATGAGAGTCAGCGTAAGCGGAGGTGCGCAATAAAATTTTAACAAATAAATTTGTTACTCCATACGAAGTGTTGCTGTCATCTTTATTTAAGATCTTGAGAAATCTTGAACGTTTCGATTCTCTTTGGAATCATCAGCAATCTTCTTAAATCCATATTAGAAGAACGCGAAATCTAATATGGATTAAGATGATTGCTGATGAAGATTTCAAAGAGAATCGAAACGTTCAAAATTTCTCAAGATTTTAAATAAAGATGACATCAACATTTCGTATGGAGTAACAAATTTATTTGTTAAAATTTTATTGCGCACCTCCGCTCGCGCTGACTCTCATTAGCCCAGATTTAGTTTGTTTTTGTTATTTTAAAGAGAGAGAGAGAGAGAGTCCTTGTATAACATATTTATTAAAAAAAAAATTGTTATTTTTTTATTTTAAATACAAGGTGATCGCTGGACTATCTTATCACAACAAATATTGACATTTTAAAATAAAGATCGGTAAAGTTTTTTCTTAAAAAGCCATTTCTTTTTAAATATTAATAAAAAATTATTAAATGTATACTATACTCGTATATGTATAATGTATATTCTTCAGTTGTTATATTATATATTAATGTTACAAAAACAAATAGAAAGAGAAGAATTTAACTATAAATTGCTAAACAAATAATGGATTAAAACGTGTAGCTGTTCATTACATTACAATATGAAAGTATCTAGTAGTTAGAAGTGTGCGGGATCCCAAAATTCCCGAAACCTGATGCTTGCATGGGACAGGATGGGAAGATCGAAAATTTCGGGATTCCCGAGAATGTTAGGGTTTCCCGAAAATATTCGCATTTCCCGACAATGTTCAGGTTTCCCGAGAATCTTTGGGATATCTGATACTGCACGGAATCTTTTAATATTGTTTTTCTATCAATCTATAATATTAGTATTTCTAGTATTGGATTTTCTCCGAAATATACAATATTTTTACTTTTCTGTCTTTATCTATGGTAAAAGAGCCTTCTGTATGATTTATAATCAAACAGAAAATTTTGTAAAGTGAAACTCAACAACAGAAATCAAAAATCTAAACTATGACCATATTCAATAAAACAAATACATTCTACTTGAATTCCGACATTTTTAGAAAACCCGAACATTCTCGAGAAACTTGAACACTCGGGAATCTCGAATATTCTCGGGAATCTCGAAAATTATAAAATCCCGTCCCGATCCCGAAAAACATTCCCTTTCCCGTCCCGACGAAATTTTGCACACTCCTACTAATAGTCTTTGATTGTTCACATCGCCAATTTGCTAATTCAATACAAGATCTTATTCTGATTGGTTGATCTAGTGAAAAAATTCCAAGATTCCAGCCTTTGAATGGCTGTGGTCAATCGCAACGTGGTAAAAAAAATAGCAACTAAGGCCACTTAATTGAATATAAAATGAATTACATATAAACTTTAGATTTAACATAATAAAATTATATTTATATAATAATTATTTACATTTATATTAAAATTAATTATTTACAGGAGAACGATGTAGAGAGATTTATATTTTTATTTATATGAATAAAAAAAATTTTTTCATGCATTTTTTATATGTATTCAAGAGTTATTATAAAGATACTACTTATATTTCATGAAAATAGAAATTTGAGAAATAAACTGGCGCGATTGAACAAAGATGGCGGACCAATCACAAGCAGCTGTCCGTAGAATAAACTTGTAGGGTCTTCCATTTGGAAAACTAGTGCAACACAGAGTGCAATTGAAAACACAAATCAATTCACCTATTTTCAGTATTAATAAACAATTTAATCCTTTCAATTAAGTATTTTTTATCATCGCAACAATCTCATCACCTTATGAAAGAATTAAATTATTTATTAAAACATAAAAATATGTAAACTGATTTGCACTCAATTGCACCAGTATTTCAAACAAGTTTCTTAGTGAAAAACACAATTGGTTTAGAAAATATCCCTAGATGGTACGTCCTGTTTCACGCGATCTTTACAGCGGCGCTGGCGTGCTCCGCTTTGAGCGTCCGCCTGGTAAGGCCTGGTAACTGGTTCGCCATTCGGCCATCGGTTATTTCTCCGTTACTCGGGCCGGAGTGCGTTGGCTTCTCGCGACTCGCGACTCGCACAGCCGCGAGTTGGTCTGAAGGACGCGTTGAACGACGCGGTGAACGGTGTAACGTCGCTCGAGAGTGAACGGGTGAGTGATATTCGTGGACGGAGAGTCGCGAACGGACTCGAAGTGCGTGGTGTTTGTTCGTTCGGTCGGGTCGGGTGGCCGGGGACACTCCGACGCAGCCTTCGTCCGCGTTAGCGGCTCGCGCTCGCCGACACGAAAATGGCGGGCCATGTCGGCCTCGATGATACGAGCGGCAGTAGCGGTGGCCGCCGCCGACGTTGTTAGCCCTCGGCACCCTCGGGGGGACACCGCGACCGCACGTGAGTCGACAGTCGCGTAAATCGCCGACTGTACGCGCCGCGTACGGAAGATTTTCCCGCCCTCCAGTTGTTGCGTGTCGCTCGCACGCATTCACGCACGACACGCACGCTTGCTCGCTCGCTCGTTCGTTCGTTCGTTCGTCGTCGGGTAGCGTGTCGTTGAAAACGGAACGAACCGAACTTGAACAGCGGAACGTTATACCTGTGGTAGAGTGTTGTGAATAACAGTTTGACGGCAAGCACGCACGTAGTACCCCGGTTTGAAAGAGAGAGAGAGAGAGAGAGAGAGAGACACATACAGAGGGACCGTGCAAACCCCCGCAGGACTCCGCAGGCAGGCTGGAGGAAGGAAGGGATTAAAGGAGCGAAAGAGACAAAGAGGAAAGAGGGAGAAATAGAGGAGGACGGAGATAGGGCAATAGAAAGAGCGAAACCTCCCCCCTCCCCACCCCCGGGGGAACAGAGACAGACGGGCAGAGGACGCACTGGTGACTGGCCGAGGCAGACGGGAGCGAAAGTTTGGTAGGAGTGGATCGACGATGAGCAAACAAACACTATGGAGTGACTATGCCGTGAGATGTTGACCGTATCATTCAGTTGACGGGAGAGATAGAGCGCGAGAGAAAAAGAAAAGGTAGATCCGAGTCCACGGGGAAACTGCCAGAGTGAGAGCGAGAGAGAGAGAGAGAGTGCGTGTGTGTATGTGTGTGTGTGTGTGTGAGTGAGTGAGTGAGTGAGTGAGTGAGTGAGTGAGTGAGTGAGTGAGTGAGTGAGTGAGTGAGTGAGAGGGAG